AACAAAGGTGAGTTCAGTACTGGAATGTTGACTTATAATAAAATGTTTTGTTATTTTATCATTGGAGACTGAAAATCATCTTAAAATGACTAAGAGCATAGACTGCCTGAGTTTACATTCTGGTTCTGCCACTTACTGACTTTGAAATTGGATAATTTATGGGACATGTCTATGCCTCAATTTCTTCATCTGTAAATAAGTTTAGTAATAAGTCCTTCCACACAGACTCCTCATGAGGGTTAACTAAGGTGATGTGTGTGAAACACTTAGACTAGTGCCTGCCATATAGTACATTCTGTGTAAGTAATAAATAAGCAGAAAATAAAATTCGATTAGTGTTATGGATATGAACAAATGACAGTTTCTTCATAAAGTTCTTTATTATTATTATTATTATTATTTTTTTGCCATAGGGTGTGTGTGCTCACAGGAGAAAGACAGAGAGAGAGCGAGTGAGAAGTGAGAAATCACCCCGAGGGAACCAGCAGTTAGTGTAATGGTTATGTCGCTGGACTCCCACGTAGTTGACCGCAGTTCGCGTCCCGGACCCGGTGGCTTAAAACTCACGCCAGGCGCGTGTGCGTGCGTGCCCAAGATCCCAAGAGGAGAATGGAGGAGAAGGGATTGCGGCGTGACCATCCCCCCTGGGGGGTGATTTCTCGCTTTCTGTCTCTAATGTCTCTCTCTGTCTGTCTGGCGAGCGCACACGCCCTATAGCGAAAATCTCTACAAAAAAAAAAAAAAAAAAGAAATCACCCCCTGAGGGAGGTGGCCACTCCACAGTCCCCTTTTCTCTGTTTTCTTCTCACACATGAACAAGTGTGTTTTTCAAGCCATTCAGTCTGAGACTCGAACTGCAGAGTTGGCCAGGTGGGATCCAGCACCTTAACCACCACACCACCTGCTGGCCCTCACGAGTTTTAAATCAAAGGATGATGGTGAGTTGATAGGGTGTGTTTTCTTTCATTTCGTTTTGCAAAGCAAAGAGTTGAGTGTTCACAAGCCAAGAACTCCAAATCTCTTGCACCTGTCTGTGGGAATTGTACTTCGCTGGAAGCCGTGGGTTGCTTCTCTGAAGTGCTTTGGGAGTCATGCTTAACAGAAGGCGCGTTGATAAACTGGTACCCAGGCTTCTTCTTCCCTCTGAGTCCCATCATCACTCAAGTCCAGAGAAAGCAAGACAGTAGCACAAGGCCAAGTCCGCTCTCCCAAGTGAAAATGACTGCTTACCAGGAAGGGGTGTAATCAGCGCTGATCTGAATGTTCCAGAAACGAAGAGCTAGCTTAGCTTGACCATTTCTGAGTGCTGGTTATGAATTATAATATTGTTTTATCTGTAACGTAAGGAGATTTACTGAGCAACAGACCGGGAATAGACTTCCCGTGGCCTAAGGGATTTCAGAGGGACAGCTCTGAGCCCAAGAGCCATTATGTAAATTGTTACGGGGTATTCTGAGTGGTGGAAACCACAATAAGCTTTTTATGTTATCCAAATTTTATTTTTTCCCCTGATACACTTCTGTAAACTGATTCTCTCAGCGAAAATGTAATGATGGGTATTTTTTTTTGTAAATGACAGCTCCAGATCTGGAGAAAAACCTTTTCTTTCTCTTTTTTATTTGGCTCATAGGCCTATTATTAAGAGTTGTTGTTATTTTTGAAATTTAAAAGGAAGTTTAGGAAGAAAAAATTCTAAGAATTTCTTTTTTTACCAAAGAAAGTCACAAAAAAGAAGAAACACATTATCCTTTGGCAAAATTTTGAAGTAGGTATGCCTCGTCTTTCTGCTTTTCAGTTGCCAACCCTACTTTTGCTCATTTCCCATGACTCTTCTTCTTAAAAAATCTACTTTTTGGAAAAGTTCTGATTACTGACTGAGAAAGATCATTTCCCTGTATCTGTGGTATCTGCATTTTGACAGAGTTTGAAGTCCAAAGGACAGCTCTTTGATCATGTGATTCCAGCCATTCTAGTCAACTCAAGAGTGGAAGGACATTCCGCTTTAGACGTGATGTTCTGAGTTCGTCTAAATCGTCCTGTTAGATTGCTTCACTAGTGGCTAATGTAGACAAGAGCAGCATTAAGGGACCCGCCCCGTGACGTGTCCAGAAACAAGGCGACACTGAGACAGGCCTTCCACGTGGGGCACACAGACCACATGGCCATGCTCCCAGGTCACTCCGGTGTTTGTGTCTTTGGAGGAAGAAGTGTCTTTCCTCCCTCCTCCCTGGCCTCAAGTAACCCTTGGAAGGTTTCCTCCAAAGCTTTTGCACCCGGAGGTCATTCCTACCTGTGGTCAAAGACTTAGGGATCACAGCCTATTTCTTCCAGTACCAGCCCCAGACGAGCCAACATGGAGAAGCCCTTACAGTCCCCAGACTTCTCCTGAGACAAGGACAGCCTCACCTGTAATGGTATTCTGAAATCCACAAAACAAGAAGCAACTCTAGTGAGAAAAACCCTGCTTCTCAGGATCAAGGCATTAATTGCAGGCAAAGTCATGGAGGGATCGAAGCCCCTCAACCTCAATAAATAAAACACTTGGCACTTTTTCATATTGGGCTCATGAAATTACCGTTTTTTATTTTCTTTCAGATTTGGTTCTCCGTCATAACTGTAGTACCCACGTGGGTGGATAATACATCGCTGCAGCTGGGCTGACATGGAACCTACATGGAGAGGGTTCAACCACAGCTTACATTTGAACACGGGTCTAGAAATGAACTTGTCCTGTCTTGGAACTTCGTAAAGCTTCAAACACCCTGCAGAGAACTGGCTTGGGGGCAAGTGGATAATTCACTTTATTTTTTTATTTTTTTATTTTTGGAGAGGTTTTCGCTATAGGGTGTGTGTGCTTGCCAGACAGAGAGAGAGAGACATAGAGACAGAAAGCGAGAAATCACCCCCCAGGGGGCATGGTCACGCTGCAATCCCTTCTCCTCCATTCTCCTCTTGGGATCTTGGGCATGCACGCACACGCGCCCGGCGTGAGTTTTAAGCCACCGGGTCCGGTACTCGAACCGAGGTCGACTACATGGTATCCAGTGACATAGCCATTATGCTAACTGCTGGTTCCCAGATAATTCACTTTATATATCCAACTCTCATGATGAGCATCTCATCCCCAGGCTCTGAGAGCACTCAGAACAATCACCATCCAAATGGAGCAGGTCTGTCGTTAAACTGACGTGTGTCTTTGTCTCCGCCTGAAGTTTTGGACTACCTCATCTGTGGACGGAGAGCAGCAGGGGTGGAGGGGGGGGAGATGTATAGAAGAGGAGGCTCCAGGTCTAGTGGAGTTACTGGGCTCCACCTGCACTTCTCCTTTATCCCTGTGCTAGACAAGATGACACACCCCCATGCTAATTTCCAGGACAACGAGGATTAGGACCTTGCGATGGTGAGATTATCCTGGGTTACCTGGGCAGGCCCACTCTAATCTCCATGTTTAAAGATGAAGGGGAAAGTCAGAATAGTGTGTCTAGAGAGATGTGAGAAGAACTCAGGCAGACATTGCTGGCTTTGAAGAAGGAGGGAGGGACCGATGGCCAAGGGTGCTGTGGTCTCTGGAAGCAGGACTAGTCCTCAGCTGACAGCCAGCGAGAAACCGGGGACCTCAGCCATCCTGCAACTGAAAGGAAATGAATTTTTCCAACAATTCGATGAACAGAAAATGGATTATCCTTTAGACAAGAATGTAGCTTGTGGACACATTGGTTTTAGCTCAGTGAGACCCATATTGTACTTCTGGTCTACATAAACGTAAAGTATGAGTTTGTGTTGGGTTTAAGCAGTAAATTTATGGTAATTTGTTATTGTAATGATAGAAAATGGATACAATCCTCTCCGTGTCCCTTCTGAGGATCACTCCCACTTACCCATTGTCAGTTATTCTTCTGAACTGTTAAGTATAATTTAAGATTAAAAGTAAGAGCAAAGGGACCAGCAGTTGGTGAAATGGCTATGTCACTGGACCCCCATGTAGTTGACTGTGGTTCAAGTCCCGGACCTGGTGGCTTAAACTCATGCCGGGCGCATGTGCGTGCTTGCCCAAGATTCCAAGTGGAGAATGGAGGAGAAGGGATTGCTGCGTGGCCATCCCCCTGGGGGCTGATTTCTTGCTTTTTGTCTCTCTGTCTCTCTGTTTTTCTGGCGAGCTCATGCGCCCTATAGCAAAAGTCTCTCAAAAAAAAAAGAGCAACATGTTGTCATGAGTGCTCAAAATGTGTCAGGCATGACAAGTATGCTACCTGCATTATTATATTAATTTTCACAGCAGAAGTTCAATTAGATGCCATTATTTTCCCTAGTTTATGGATGTCCAGACTAAGGCTTAGAAAGGTGAATAGCTCAATGTTACATTGCAACCGCATGATATGCCCTAGATGTCAGCTGGAATACCTTACCTGAAATCCAAGCAAACATGGCTGTCAGCCCAAGGAGTCCAGACTCTTACCAAGAATTGGCCTATTTACTACTCTTAGGTTCTTCTGGCAGCTGGGGTCATGCAGAAGAAGCTTGAGAAGGGTTAGGGTTCACTACTTCCTCTCCAAACTTGCCACCCAGGTGTAAGAGAAAGCCGGCTTTCCTGAAATTCTGCCACAAACACACACAAGTGTCTATTAAGGAACATTCACTAACATACACCTTCCTTTGCCCTGACCATTTTTTGGCCAATGGCTCTAAGTTGTCACTTAGCCAAGTATTTTAAAGTAAAGCTAGAAATCTACACATTTTGTGTAATTAGATGGTAAATTAATGGTGCCCTCTTCTGAAAACTAGAATCCATCTGAGATGTTGGTTGTGAAGGAACACCAGGTTGACCCTGGTATAGTCCACGGTGATAATAATGGAAACAAAACCCAACCCTGCTACCGGTGCGCGCCCATCCTCTGTGCTCGGCAAAGAAATCTGCTCGCAGTTTATCTTAAGATTTCTGGAAGTCTTTTCAACATCAAATCTGTCCGTTTCTTTGATGTGACGGCTGTGACTTTTTAGCTGGTTGGTGGGTCACATTTGGGGATACGCTGGAAACAGATCTGAATGCTGACTCTGTCCCACGATGTTGTCCTAGCCATGATGAGACAAGACAAAGACTCAATTTTCAGTTCTCTTGGAGCCAGTATTTCCAGCAGTTTTTAAAATATCACTATTTGGGCCAACAGGGGGTGTGGTGGTTGAGGTGGGTGGGTCACAGGACCTGTGGCATATGTGCTTGGGTGCCCTAAATCCTGGCAGAAGAACACAGGAGAAAGAATTGCCGTCTGGCCATTCCCCTGGGGTGCTTTCTTCCCTCCTCCCCCACCTCATCTCTCTCTGGCAAGCACATGTACCCTGTAACACATTTTTAAAAAAATCACTACATTTTCCTCAACAAAAAAAAAGAATGAGAGCCAGCAGGTGGTGTGGTGATTAAGGTGCTGGACTCCAAGATGGCTGACCATGGTTCGAGTCCCAGACCTGATGGCTTGAAAATCATGCCAGGTGTGTGTGTGCCCAAAATCTCAGGGGGAGAATGGAGAAGAAGGGACCCCCTGGGGGCCGATTTCTCATTTTCCTTCTCTCTGTCTCTCTTTAGAGAGTGCACATGCCCTATGGCAAAAAACTTAAAAAAAAACAATAAAGTAAGAATGAGGGCAACTTTGTATCTTTTCTCAACTGTAAAAGATCAACACCAGGGCCTGGACACAGGGAGAGTAGAGAGTAATTACTTAACCAGTATGGAAGCTCTTTTTGGAATTATGAGTATGTTCCAGAATTAGTCACGATAATTGTACATTTGGAACATGCTGGAAATCTGAAGTATACACTTTGAAATGGTTAAAATGTTTTCTGTTATATGGGTTTTACTTTAATTTTTCTAGAAAAGGCCATTGCAACGGGTGTGTGCAGTCTCAGACAGAGGTGACACGTTTCGTATTGCTTTGCTTTCTGAGTAGGTGGCTCTACTTTTCAAATTCTCCTTATTTGATTCTTTGTTTTAAATTGCTATAGGGTGTGTGTGTTCACCAGAAGGAGACAGAGAGAGGGGGAGGCCGTGAAAGCACGCTCCATGGGGCCTGGTCACACTGCAATTCCTTCTCCTCCATTTTTTCCTCCTCTCAGAATCTTGAGCACGCACGTGCATGCACCCCTGCCTTGTGTGTTTTTCAAGTCATCAGCTCAGAGACTCTAACACATGGTTAATCATGCAGGATCTAGCTCTCTTAAACACCAGGCCATGGGCTGGCCCCTTTGTATGTATCTCTCTAATATTCAAGCTAAAATTTCCTTGCTTAATTTTTTTTAAGGAGGTTTTTGCCTTTAGCCACGTGTGCTCGCTGGAGAAAGACAGAGACATGAGAGAGAAAGTGAGAAATCACCCTCCCGGGGGGATGGCCACAACACAATCCCTTCTTCACCCTCCTCCTGGGATCTTGAGCACACACACATATGTGCCTGGCATGAGTTTCAAGCCACTGGGTCTGGGACTCAAACTGCGGTCGGCCATGTGGGAGTCCAACAATGTAACCACTAGGCCATCTGCTGGCACCTCCTTGCTAATATTTTTAAGTTTCTTGGTCTATGTTTATAGGTGCAATGGACTGGATTGTCCTTCTCTTCCCTAACCCCAATATTACAGAATTCGGAGGCAGTGCTTTTAGGAGTACCTAAGGTTAGATGGGGTCATACGGGTAGGGTCCTAGTCTGATAAGATTAGACCTTGTAAGAAGAGGGCTGGCAGCAGTGACTCACTGCACAAGTGCTGTTGGAGCCACGTGAAAGATGGCATACGCACCGCAAATTATGTGTCCATGTGTCCCCCGCTGAAGGACGGGGTTTGGTGTGAGACTGTTGAAGGTATTTGTCTTTCTCTTTTTCTCTTCTTTCACTTTCATGGAAAAAATAAATAAATTAAAAAATAACAAGAGGAAAAAAGATGCATGCACCAAAAGAAGGCCACGGGAGCACTTAGCCAGAAGGCTAAGCCAGGAACAGAGTCCTCAACAGAACCTGACTATGCTGGGCTCCTGATTTCGGACTTCCAGCCCCCAGAACTGCGAGAAAATACGTTTCTGTTGTGTAAACTGCTCAGCTTAGGGTATTTCATTACGACTAAGGCATCTGTTCGTGGAGAATTACCCACATTTTCTAACATCTCCTACTTGAGTGGCTGTAGTGAAAGCACGAGGGAGCACTGTATTTCGAGGCAATGGAACATCCAAAGTTGGCAGGGATTGGCTTTGTGGCCCTCAGGTTTTTTTTTAACATTAATGTTTAAACTAATTTATTTTTATTCATAATAGAGTATGCACATGGATGAGAGTGAGAGAGGAGCGCCCTCAACAGGGTCCAGCCATGCCACAACCTCCCTTCCCCAGCACTCCAGCTGCTCAGGCTCCTGGGCATGCACACACGTCTGCCATGTTTTCAAGCTAACCTAAGACCCAAACCTGCCCTTGGCCATGTGGCTTACTTTGCCTGCAACTCACTTTACCACCTGTATTATACCACCAGGTTGGGTCTTAGCGTTGATTTTTTTTTTTTTTTTGAGAGGTTTGTGCTATAGGGCACATGTACTCACCATAAAGACAGAGAAAGACAGAGAGGCAGAAAGCAAGAAATCGCCCCCCAAGTGGGGATGGCCATGCCACAATCCCTTCTCCTCCATTCTCTTCTTGGGATCTTGGGCATGCATGCACACATGCCCGGTGTGAGTTTAAACTACCAGGTCCAGGACTCGAACTGCGGTCGACTACATGAAAGACCAGTGGCATAGCCATTATGCCAACTGCTGGTTCCTCTCAGCATTGATTTTTATGCACTGCTGAACAGTATTTATGGTTTAGGATTTGTGCTGTGGTATTTACATTATTTTTTCTTAAGATTTTCCTTATAGGGTGTGTGTGCTCACTGGGGTGACAGAGACAGAGAGACATAGAGAGACAAAAATCAAGAAATCACCTACCAGGGGAATGTACACCTTGCAATCACTTCTCTTCCATTTTCTTCTCGGGATTTTGAGCACGTATGCACATGCGCCTGGTATGAGTTTTAATTATCTGGGTCTGGAACTTGAACTGTGGTCAACCATATGGTATTCCAGCAACATAGCCCTTACCCCATCTGCTGATCCCATTTACCTTCTTGATGTGAACTAGGAGTATGTCTGGAATAGGGTGGATGATCAAAGTAGACTTTAAAATTATTTTCAGTGCTTTGTATCCATGTGGAATTTCTATGTAATTAAAATTCAGTTTATATCAGAATCAGTTGGGATTAGTGGAGGAAGATAGGAGCTCTGATGACAAAATACCATCATTTCACAAGACTAATATTTTGCTAAGCCATAACCATTCTTTGCTTCCACATTTCCACCTTATGTTTTTAGGCTTCTCTTAGTCATGGTCCAACAGGTGCCTTGTGAACTAAGCCATGGATGTTGCTTGAAGCACAGGATGGGCTGATTCCCTCTCTGGGACGTGATCCAGCTCTAGATGTTATATGCTACCATTCACATCGCAGCATCACAGCTAATGTGGGTTTTATACCTTACACTCTTGCAGTTTCTGCCATAGGATGCAGACATTTAGCATACATTAAGTGGGGACATACAATGCTTCTCTTTCATAGTCTGGTAAGTTCATCAGAAGTTGAAGATCTACAACTCCACTGTGGATATTCAATAGTAAGGGTCAGAGATTACAACAAGAAAATGCGAATTTGGCTGGTTTTCTGTATGGGTGTGCCCAGCTGCAGGAAGACTACCAAGTACCTTTGAGGATGGCCATGTCCTTCTGCAGTGTAAGTTATGTCACTGGTAAATGTAAGAAACAGCTTTAAATCCAGATGTCACTAGAGACTTTTATTGCTCACATTGTTTCCACCTCTCTAGATCTTATACCTGCATCTCCCATCTTCAGGTGTGAACGAGGAAACACTTTAGACTGAAAGAACTTCAGTTGGGTCCTTCACACCCCAGGGGGAGAAAAACTCTCCATTCCTTCAGAATGAAGCAGGTATCCATATTAACTTGCCTTTTAAAACTGCTTCCTTTGAATCTATAATAATAATTGAATTTTAAAATTTCACATAAAATATCACTTTATCAGTTTCCCTTTTGAATAGTCAAGATAACTGAGCAAAATTATTAGTTCCTTGCTTAGATTAAGCTTCCAAAAATGTAAAATTTATATATACCATGATATATGCTGAAAGAGTTACTAGTCAATAATACCATATCATTAAATAAAATGCATGATCCTCTTTTTAAAGTTTTTTAGTTTAAATTTTATGGATAATATATTCCCATGGATCCAGTATCAAAAAATATGAGAGTACACATTGAATTTTTTTATTTTCATCCTTTCCTTCTGCCAATAACCCATTTCTACTTTCTCAAAAAAACATTAGACTTATTTCTTGGTATTCTTTCAGGGAAGTGTTTTTTTTTCATTTTTAAAAAAGAATTATCCATTTATTTAATTCAATTAGATATTATTTTTCAATTTGACTAGAGAGAGAGAGAGGAAGGGAGAAAGGAAGGCCCCAGGTCTGGGACCCAAACTGTGGTTGGCCATGTGGGAATCCAGTGTCTTTAACCACCATGCCACTTGCTGGCTCCCAGAAAAGTACTTCTTAAGTGTTTTATTTTATTATTTTTTAAAATTATCATCCTCTAATGAGACTTTTAAGACACTTTTCCCTGAATATCCCATCCCCCGATTTTAATATATGGCAGTATTACATATTGTTTATTGAACATTGTGTATATCTATACTTTGTATACAAAAAGATTGAGACTGTCCTCACCTAGGAACTAAATTTTGTCCCTTGGGGAAAAAAATGACATCACCTCCTAGGCAATACACGTCCTGGAGGTGTCTTATTCATACACGTAGCTTGGCATGAGGGACTGTAAGCAAAGAGCAGGCAGTGTGTGCTTTTGTAACTCGCTGATACCCGGCAGTGGTATTTCCAAGCATTACATTAAAAATGCTCCATCTTTTTTTATGGGTACATAGTGTTTATTTTATAAATTTAAGTCAATTTACTTACTCCAGAGCCCAGTGATGGCTGTTTGGTTCTTGCAATCTCCTATTCTTATAAAACGTGTGCAATGATGAGGGTTGATCTTGTCAGGTATTGAGGTCTGTGGTAGATGAGATGCCGTGATTTCTTCGACAGTCTCCCCTCAACAAACGCAGTCTCTGCCTCGTTCCCTTAGTCTTTTCATGAGCTCTATGCCTTTTTGTCAAATTTTTTCCTTTTTTTTTTTTTCTAAAGGACACATGCATTCACAAAGAGAGACAGAAAGACAGAGACAGAAAAAAAGTGAGAAATCACCCTCCTGGGGGGATGGCCAGGCCACAGTTCTTTCTCCTCCAGTGTCCTGTGGGGATTTGAGGTATTCGTGTAAATGTGCCTGCCATGATTTTCAAGCCACAGGGTGTGGGACTTGAACCCTGCAGCTGGCCATGTGGGATCCAACACCTTCACCTCCAGTCCACCTATAGGACCACTCCATGCTTTCCTAACCAACAGAGTATAGTGGAAATGTCACTGTGCTGACTTCTGGGCTCAGGCATTAAGAGACTTCCTATCTCTAGAGACACTCAGTGTTGGCCCTCTCAGAAGCCAAAGTGATCTCTCGAAACTGCAAATCAGATCATCTGATTACAAACGTTCGTGGCATTGCTCTAGAAGCAGTTTTAAGGCATGCAATAGCTCTTAATGTCCTAAGTGAGTTAGCACGCCGCTCGTCTTAGCAGCCTCATGTCGCCCTCTGCCTGGGTAGATGTGCCACACTGGCTGTCTGTCGTTTGTAAAACACGAACCGCTCCCGCCTGCCTCCCTGCCCTGTTAGACTTGTCTCGATTCTAAACAAGTAATTATGCTGTGGTAGTCTCACGTCTGTCTTCTTTAGCAGACTGCGAGCTCTGTGTTGCAAGCCCTGTCTGTCAGGCTCGCGGCATCCCCAGAATACAGCACAGGGCCTGATCCGGGAGTTACAAGAGAAATGCGGAGAAATAGATGAACAGTGAACCATCTCCTGGCTGACCGATACACGTTTTTCAGTGTGTGAAAAGGTGCAGCATGGCCCAGGGAAGAGGTTTTTCTAGAATAACGCCCCCTGTTTTACTAGTCACACGTCTTCCATCTCCTAGTAGTTTTGCCTTGGGTGGGCAGGCTCCATGTCCTGGAGTCCTGCCTCAGAGGAACCCAGGCGGCCTTGCCAGCCTCAGAGAGGCTGCAGCTTCCCTTCCTTGCATAACCAAGCAGGCGCTCACAGTTAGCTAGCTCCCCTGCTCTGGCCTCCATCCCTGGAAACATTTCAGCAACAACTTGTTTTCTGAACCAGCAAGCACCATCACTTACCAGCCTTCCCACTAGTGAGCGAGCTACATTTTCTTTTTTTGCATAGATCATTGTTGGAATCAAGTCCATTATGACTCTCCTCGGGGGACTTTCGTTTTTGTCCAAAGTATAGATACCTCAGCAAGCAAAATTTCTGAGAGAATTCATTCCCAGTGAAGGTCTTATACAGAGAATTACACTTTGTTGATTACTCGTTGGTGTGATGTGACTTAATGAATTTTTTTTTTTTTTTTTTTTGGAGAGGTCTTTCACTATAGGGCATGTGCCTCGCCAGACAGACAGAGAGAAACAGAGAGACAGAAAGTGAGAAATCACCCCCCAGGGGGGATGGTCACGCCGCAATCCCTTCTCCTCCATTCTCCTCTCGGGATCTTGGGCACGCACGCACATGTGCCCGGCGTGAGTTCTAAGCCACCGGGTCCGGGATGCAAACTGCAGTCGACTATGTGGGAGTCCAGCGACATAGCCGTTACGCAAACTGCTGGTCCCCAATATACCCTCATTTCTTAAAAG